CTACAAAGTATCTGAAAAGGTGCGCCCATTGCTTAGTAGAAAAAAAGACCCCTTCTCCACAATTGCCCTCTCAGATGTCCCTTGAGAGAAAGAGAAGGCTGCACCGTGAAAACAAAAGTAAAACTGAACTATACCCTCCAATACATCTCCTGTTCAGAGCACGAATAAAACTTCCTATTTTTTGACAAAACCTAGCACACGCCTTGCCTGCTTACTCCTGCCCCTCTAAACACGTGCAGCTTTTTCAAACTTTCACTTCTCACCTTTGAAACAACCTTCTAATGTCAGACCACATTTTAAACCCAATAAAAAATAAATCAGAGAAAAGTAAAACTCTTTGAAAGTCATTTCCTTCTACCTTAGTGCTTGCTTTAGTCTTGGTTGCAAACCAAGCCCAGAGCATTTAAAACAAGATTCATGAATCGGGCTCTTCAGGATGAATGTTTTGCAAATGCACCAGCGGTTAAAAATTAACTCTGACAGGTGTAGAAGGGCAGGGGGGAGAAAGAGTCATTTGTTTTCCCTCTGGGCTTGAGGGTGCAATATTAAACTTCAATTATGCTACATTAATATTTCTGAATATATCCATGAAATCTGAAATATGTAAATACACTTATAATGGGTTTCATTCAAAGGCACTCAGTGTTAAATGGTCCGTTTTTACCTTAGTTGCCCTATAGAAATCTACTTTAGCGACCTAAGGATCAGTAGGGTGAACGTAACACGAAGTGATTCAAGAAAACCCGCTGTTCAGCTTTAACCCTTTTTAAGACTTTTGGTAACAGAGAACAGCAAACTGTCAACCAAGTTCGGAGAACTTACTCTGTGCTTAGCCTTTCAAACCTTAGTTTCCCTCCCTACAGGGGGAGAAGCCTTCCTTCACAGGTATGCTGGATGCATTAAATGAGCTGGTGTGTTAGAGTTCTTTGAGATTTCATTTGGATGATTATTATGCTGTGTCCAGTTCTACGCTAAGAAGAGCTGAAAAGGAGAAGCCTTTGTCCTTGAGAAATGTAGCTAAGCTGATGAAACTACCAGAACAACTGGTACAGTTACGTATAAGAGGACAAGGGGCTTAAGGACATAAATGTAGTGAATGGGTCAAAACCCTGCACATCAAGCAGGGGAGGAGCTCCCTGGGTGCAGATGAAGAGGATGGCACTGTTCGGGGCCACTGGGGACGGCTGTGCACTGCGTGCACTGCGTAAAGGCACCTGGGCAAGGTGCGGTGGCGGGGGGGGGGGGGGGGGGGGGGGGGCGGCGGCGCTGGGGCTGGTGCTGAGATCCAGGCGCCTCCACTCCCTGAGTCGCACACGGAGCAAAGGGCGTCAGACAAAGGCATCCTCCTCCCTCCAAGCAATGCGCCCACGGGGCAGCAACTGCCCACTGAGTGTCCTTTTCAGATCTGTGTTTAAGTCCCCGCCAGGCATCCTGAGGCCAGGCTCCGCTGGTCGGGAACATGGGAATGTGGGACCAGTGGGGAGAGCGGCCTGGTAGGATTCAGACGGCACTAACCAGGAAGGCGGCTTGAGGACATGGAGCCCTGAACGAGGCCAGCTCCCGCAGGGCCTTAAACGCCAGAGCTGACACAACGACACCAAGGACATACTACAGGGTCGTAAGCTTCAGTACTCCTCACCTCATTTAGTGCTCATAGCCATCCCAGGAGAGAGGCGTTATTCCCATTTCACAGACTGGAACACCATCTGGAAAGGCTGAATGACCGGGTGATGAGCTCGGTGAGTAAGCAACAAGAGCTGGGATTCAAACCCAGACGTGACTTGCACTGTTCTTTCCACTGCATGACACACGACGGAGCGACTTTGAGCCTGATCCCCAAAGCTACCAACAGTTGCACTGGGGCTCTTAACTATATGTGACCCATAGGTACAAATATCTCCTATTCTTGGTCTATCGCTTGCTGGAAACTTCGGAAGACTTTTTGACTGGACACTACGGGCAGTCCCGTTGCCCACAAAGGTTCCAAAAGCCCAGGTAGCAGACAGAGCAGCAGCCTGGTGTCTGGGCCGGGTGCCCCCACCCCCGGCAGACCCATTCCGGCTCATACTGGTTGGGGTGGCACCAGGTGAAACCGTCAAGCTCTGTGGTCTTCAGTTTCTTCACGTGCAATCGGAGAGCTGGACAATGCATTCAGCTCTCAAGTGATGCTTTTTATGACGCTGTCACCTAAAATATTTACTGCTTTTTCAAATCCGGTAAAAATATCAAGCTGTTATTTTTGTCCTTTCCAATTTATTTTGAAGAAATCTTTGAAACTCCTTGAACTGAGATGCTGTTTCTCCTTCCCCTTTTCAAATTGTACCTATTCTTCGAAGCCCACTTCAAGTCCTTTTTTTTCCTATGAGCTTTTCCTGTCTACTAAAAAAGTCACCAACCACATCTCTCAAATTCTTTTTATACTTACAGTACACACCCTCCTGCCCAGAATTTAATGAGACGCTGTGTGCTAACGGGTCTTATTGCAACTGACACCCTGCCTCACACATCATTAGCCCTGCCTATCATCTCAAGTTCTAACTGATAACAACTAGAAAAGGTGTCTATTTGCCCCATAATAGTCTTGCTTGTCCTCCACCCCCCAAATATCATTCAAGCACTCATTTCTATTCATGACAAAGTTACTGCAAATGGATGACTTATGAGTGTTCCCTGGAGATGCGCCGGTGCTTCCCAGCCCACTGGGACGAGCACATGCAGGGGTAATGATGAAAGACTCCATGAAAACATCCCATTCCTACCAGGCCAAAGAAGTCATTTCTCTAACCCAGGGTGCCCTGCCATTCATCTGCACTGGAGCCATTCCTGAATACAAAGGTGTTAATGAGGACGTTGTCCTGGGGCGGGTAGTCTGTTTTCACCAGTGAGAGACGCTGAAGCAACATTTTAATTCCCAAAGTCCCATACGATTTGCAGAATAGTTGACAGAGATCACACAAAGGGGGAAACGCCTCCAACTGGGACTTAAAAATTACTTGGACGCAATTTTTTGGAAGAGGCTGCATGTGTTCTGGGATAGTCTAGCAACGTTCAAGGCTTTATGGATCGTTCTTCAACAGAGCTGATGGAACTAATCCATCTGCCTTTGAAACTGATACACCAATTTCTTAGTAGAAGGATGTAGGTAGGGTCTATGACATAGCAAGCAGTCTTAAGTGTGCATTATCAAAACAGATGCAGATGAAGTTTTTCTTGGGTGGAATTAGGCTGAAACTGAGAAAGACGTTTAACCAGTTTACACCAGAAGCAGAAGCATTAAACTCCACCACTGATTCTACTACACCCCGTGTAGCAGAAATTCTCGAAAACTCCATGCGATAAATTCGCTTGTGGGTATGTGTCAAGCCCTGTCTGGCTTTTAGCTTCCATGTCTCCCCCCTCTCCAGGGAGCTGGCCACTGAGAAGACTGGGCACCTCCCCCGCCTTCCCTGCAAGCAGGGCCCAGCTCTCCCTCTCTCTGAGGTGGACCTCCACACGGGTCAGGAGGAAGTGAAAGATCGTAGCTCGATCCTTTGGCCGGGGGTCCTGTTCTGTTCTTGCTGGTCCTCTTTCTTCCCACCCATGTGATCAGTCTAGGAGTGGGTAGTCAATAAACGGCTCCAGTGCCACGTTCACACCTGCCCCTGTCCCCTCCCCACAGGGTACTTCTAATCTATCACTGCATCGTTTCCTACTGAGCCCAAAGGCAGCCTTTGAACACCAACACAGAGCTCCCAAATCCGTTATCGAGTGACCCAAGCAGTCACACGATATGACACCTTTTGGTCACCCTCTGGAACTCCAGTCCTGGGCCGTACCTGTTGACAGATTTCTCTGATGCGGTTTACAATCCAGGGTATCCCTGTTACATATCCTGCTTGCTGGGATTTGGAACACTTGGAATGGACCAGGCTTGCCTTACGTAGTATTTATGCTGCCACTCTTACCTGTGGATCCCGTATTTTGGATCTGTCGACAGAAGCCCTTCCCAATATCTGTATCATGAGTGGTTACCCATCCCATCCTTTATCCCATCCCTACAGGCGGGTTTTAAGTCTAGGCCCTCACCTCTCTGTCTGCCCCTTCCAGATGCAAACAACTAAGCCTAGCTATGGAACACCTTAATAAAAAGCACAACATAGTCCGCCATTGCGTGACTGATATCTGGGTCCCCACGTTTGCTCATACAGAGATAAGTTTGGTAATTTGCATGAGTTACTCATAATAAATAATAAATTCATGATGTTTTAATTAAATTCAAGACATAAATTCAGACTACAAGCAACACCTTCTACTGGTCCTGAAACTCCACTTCACTTCTAGGGCCCTCATCACTTTCTAAATGACCAGCTCACTTTTAACCATATACAGCAAAGTAGGGTTGTTTAGACTTTCCACAGTAGAGGAAAAATATATCAGTTTAAATGAAATCCACCGCTAACTCGGTCTACATTTCCCGCTTTGTTAAACGGCTAATTGAATGCCAGCCTGCTTTCACAGAAGTGTCTGGCTTGCTCGAACTTGTTGCAGTAGACCCCTAGTTTCATACTACTTGCATTATTATAAATGTTTATTTTGACAAGACATTTCTCAGCCTACCTGCTTCCAAAAAACACATTCCAAAATACTTTAAATTATATAGTAATTATAAATCCCCTACTTTGTAAGTACGAGAAAGAAAAACAAAAATGTCAGCAACGAAAATCAACGCCATAATTTATGCAACAACCAGAAGCATCAAGTTAAGGGGGTTGGGGAGCTCTCCCAGCAACCCTCACCTGAAACCAAGACCATGTAAAAGCCACAAATATCAAAAGCTGGATAATACTGACCCACACGCGCTGCTGCCCAGCTACTTTTCCCTTAAGTCATGAGGTAACACGTTATTATGGATCTCAATTCCACGAGAAACTTATGGCACTTCAGAGGAGACTAAAAACCACCATTTTTCAGGCTCTAAAAAACGAACAGTGAGGGAATTTTAAATGTTCCGAAGGCATTACCTGGTGCAGGCTGGCGTTCATTCCATTCGGTGGAGATTAAAATTTCTGTAACTTTTATGAGGTGTTCAGTATTCTCAGAACTACAAAAAAAAAAAAAAAAAAAGAGAGAGATCCATTAGACACCTTTTTCCCTAAACAACAAACTTATTTTCATTTCTGCATATTCAAATGAATGTGTGTGATGGAACTATGTACAAGCATTTGTAAACTGGTATCTTCAGAAGGAGCTTAATGACCCATAAACTTAGGACCACCCTCATCACCCCAAAATCCAGGTTGCTCTTCTATCACTTACCTGGCTGCTGGGAATCTGAAAAGCAGGGGGCTGAAGAGTTCAGAGAGTAGTCTTGCATTCAAAAGATTTTTGCTGGACGTTTGAGAGAGCTTGAAGAAATGTTTTAGCAAATACTGCAGCGTGAGCCAGTACTGATGAGGTATGCTGGGCGACCTAATGAGCTTCTTCAACAGCTGGATGTATTCTTCAGAGCTTTGCACTTCTACAGGTTAAAAAAAGAAAGAAAGAAAGAAAGCAAAAGGAATAAGAGACTGTTTCTAGCTGTTAGTGAATAAACACCTAGAAAATTTCTGTTCTAGCTACCGAGGGATCATTTAAAACCAAGGCATCAGAAACAGCAGACAATACATTTGCTCTTCTCATTAGAAAAGGCATTATGAGAAAGTCAAAATCTCAAGTCAAATGGAAACGCAAGAAACTCTTGGTGTACAAAACCACAAGAAGTTCTCGGTGTACTGCCGTCCATGGAGCGGCTTCGAGTGTGATTGGCTAATTCAGAGGAGCATCAGATAAGTATCACAGGTTTTAACTTTGAAGGTTACGAACCACAGTTTCCTGTCCCCAAAGCACTTTAACTGAGCATTAGCTCCTAAAACGGAGAGTCCTCTTCCCTCAACTCATTTTCTAATGGCCACTGGAGGAAGGTGATGGGAACATCCCCAGTCACTGGGTCCTAGTCCGGTTCCCTGAATCCAGTGATGGCACTTGGCACGCTGAGGCATTCGCTGACGTAGTGAACCTTAAAATACTGATAAAAGGTTAACAATTAGCCATTTCAACATGTGGACGGCCTTCCTAAGCAAACTAGAATCTGGCTCTTCTATCGGATGCCCTGGTAAGGGAGGGAATTTGTGCTGATGGGGGTGGGGGCAGACCCCTCCTAACATTTTCTAAGAAATCTCTCTTTATCTGCAGCCCTTGAGTTGACAAGTACATCCACATCTCAATACACGTTCAGGGAGGTTCTCAGAAGACACAACACACCTGGGGCTAAAGAAACCATTTCATTGTAAATGGCTACTGGAATGACAGGATTTGGTAAGTCCAGGAGATAGCGTTTGAAAGCGTCTGCTAAAACGTGCACATCGATCATTTCCAAGTCCACGGAGGCAGCATCTATGGTAGAAATATGCAAAAAAATTTTTTTCAGACATTTTATGCGTTGGCTGGGCCGATTTTCTGAATGTGCGACTTCAGTGTGACACATGAAAGGAAGCAGTATGAGGACGAATGTAAGATGCTTGCGTATTTATGAGCAGTGTTTCTTGCAGTGGTTGCTCCTGGCATTTCGAATAGAACATTTTTCCCTTGTGTAGGTCTGTCCCCCGCCCTGTAAGCATTTAGCACAAAGGCCCCTGCCCACGATGCCAGGAACACATTCCCAGACTTCGGGGGCAACAAAAAACAGGGCTCCTGCCGTGGGCTGAACTGTTTCCCCTACAATTCATATGCTGAAGGCCCAACTCCCAGCACCTCGGAATATGAATATATTTGGAGACAGGGCCTTTAAAGCGGTGTTTAAATTAAAATGGGGCCATTAGAGTGGGCCCTAATCAATTTGACTGGTTTTATAAGAGGAGGAAATTTGGACAAAGAGACACCGAGGGTGCACGTACAGAGGACAGGCCATATGAGGACACAGCAAGGAAGCGGCCATCTGTAAGCCAAGGAGAGAGAGGCCTCAGAAGAAACCAAACCTGCCTTGATCTGGGACTTCTAGCCTCCAGAAGTGTGAGAAAATAGATTTCTGTTTTTTTGGTTTTTTGTTTTTTTGCGGTACGCAGGCCTCTCACTGTTGTGGCCTCTCCCGTTGCGGAGCACAGGCTCCGGACACACAGGCTCAGCGGCCATGGTTCACGGGCCCAGCCGCTCCGCGGCATGTGGGATCTTCCCGGACCGGGGCACGAACCCGTGTCCCCTGCATCGGCAGGCGGACTCTCAACCACTGCGCCACCAGGGAAGCCCAGATTTCTGTTTTTTAAGCCACCCAGTCTGTGGAATGTTGTTATGGCAGCCACAGCAAACAAATGCAGCCCCCCACAATGTTTGCAAGTACGTTCTGGACGGTGGTTCTGCCCTGATTGAGAAGGGTTCTGTTCTAGGGATGGTGAATCACACAGTAAATACTTCCTAAAATTGCAACAAGAAAACATGACGTGCAAATCCATAGATTTCCTAAAATCGGAATTGCTCAATACTGCATATCAGAACTAATACAAATTTAACCCAATAAAGTACAGACTGATTGATTAAACAGTAAGCTATTACAGAATTTTAGCAGTCAATCTCGAGGACGGCCATAAAAATGATGTGAACATCTTTAGCATGTTTCTCCCTAGTTCTGACAGTGTATTCTGTTTAAGGTATTACTAATATAACTGGTGGGCACTGAACTATCTCAGAAGAAAGGTAAGACATGAAGTCTGTCCAGTAAATCTTTCATCTGGAAAACAGGTCAGGCAATTCAACACTGGGGTAGTATGAATCACAGCCGCTCTCTGAGTACTTGGGGTAGAATGAGGCACACTGCCCGGTGGAAGGAAGGGGTGCTGCGGGCAGGAAGGACCACGGTCACTGCTGAAGGATGCACACTACTGACAGGAAAGATGACTTGAGGGAAATTATCTGGGGACTCGTGCATGTACTCAGCGGAGAACAGGGGCCCTGACGAGCAGAATGCTGCATTTCTAAACAGCTTTATTAATCGTGGCATTCAAAATAAGTCGGAAAGGAGCGCTGCTGGAAGTGCTGATACCACTCGGGGTAATCTGGATTTCAGGACCGTTAGAAACGTGTGAGACATTACCAAGAAGTAACCTAGGGCTTCCCTGGTGGCGGAGTGGTTGAGAGTCCGCCTGCCGATGCAGGGGACACAGATTCGAGCCCTGGTCCGGGAAGATCCCACATGCCGCAGAGCAACTAGGCCCGGGAGCCACAACTACTGAGCCTGCACGTCTGGAGCCTGTGCTCCGCCACAAGAGAAGCTGCGATAGTGAGAGGCCCGCGCACCGTGATGAAGAGTGGCCCCCGCTTGCCGCAACTGGAGAAAGCCTGCGCGCAGCAACGAAGACCCAACACAGCATGCATGCATGCATGCATAAATAAATAAATATTAAAAATGAATATCCGGTAAAAAAAAAAAAAAAAAAAAGAAGTAACCTAACTAGGAGATGGACAGGACTGGGTTGTGGCCTAGGAGAGGATGAGAGAGAATCGAAGTTTACTCGCAGGTATTCAGCATGAGAAGGAGAAGTGGCATCCTGGATGCCCATGAACCAGGTATGATATTACAAAGCACTCAGGCTGAGTTAACAAAGCTTCTTGGACACATCATCAGCCAAACCTGTCCCACTAACGAGGCAGAACTTGTGAAAGACAATCGCACAACACCATAAAGCTCAGGAAAGCCCCGAGCTGGTAGCAAATGTGGATAGGTCAGTTTGAGGAAAAGAATGAAAAGGTGGAGAAGCAAGGGCTTAAATCACTTAAGTGTCCCACAAAGAACAAACCGGAGGCATATGACATCTCTAATAAGTGTGGGGAAGGGCAAGGCTGGGTCTCTGCATAAAGGGTCCATGTGGAAAGTAATGCAACCACTAGTGTGGCTGTCACACAAAACTGTGTGTGCATCTAAGTTGGAGCATTCCATAGCCACCCACTCTACAGCAAGCTGCTGCCCCTCCCCCCAAATTTGCCCCCTGTATACTTCATTTAATATCACTTTGCCCAGCCAATTCTTATTACTTAGTTTGCTCATCCTAAAACACCATTTGGCAATGAGGTATAAGCATTAAGATGAGAAAGGTTCCACACGTCCCCCTGCAGGAGTCATCTCTCTATGACACCTGACATTCCCACTATGGTAATTGCGAGTCTCTCTCCTAGACTGACAGTCCCTCCAAGGCACGGACTGTGGCTCTCACCTGCTCTTCTCACATCCCTCAGTGCTCAGCAGAGAATGTGCTTGTTGAATGTTTGTGAGCTGTGCTACACAAAGTCCTGAGAGTGATGTTCATTCACTGAAGCCCTTCTCTAACACATGAGGTGTATTCCAAAGAGCCTTTAAAACCTTTGAATGAAATAACCTTATTTCAAGTCTTTGGATCAGCTCACCTTATGTCAAATTCCACTAGAGCCGATGTACTATGTTCTATTTATTTATAGACAACTTCTAAAGCTCCTTGGGGTTTCTGACTTCTATTCTAGCAGTCTCCTTTTCTGCATTAAAGCTATGCTAATGTGCTCTTCCAAGAGCTAGACACATCTGTCACGTGATGACAGTGGAAGTTAGTTCAGAGAGAGCCACCCAATCTTTAGGTCTGGGTTGGGGCGTTTACACCCTCTTCTACCCTGCTTTTCTGAGTCTACTCCTGACGGGCAACCAGTCGACTCTCCAACACTTCACCCCTTCTCCCACTGGAATGGAGTCCCCTCCCCGACTGATCTCTATCTAAGTAAAGGGTTCTCAACTAGGGTCCTCAATTTCGCTGCCCCACCTCCACCCTTAGGAGACATCTCTCAACACCTGGAGACATCTCCGATTGTCACAACCGGGGGAACATCCCACCGGCATCTAGTGGGTGGAGACCAGGAGTGCTGCTGAAATCCTACAACACACAGAACAGCCCCCTGACAACAAAGAATTATCCATCCTAAAATGTCCACAGTGCTGAGGCTGCGGAAGGCTGATTTTTAAAATTGAGGTATCTTGGGACTTCCCTGGAGGTCCAGTGGTTAAGACTCTGTGCTTCTGGTGCAGAGGGGTGTGGGATCGATCCCTGGTCGGGAAACTAAGATCCCACATGCCGTGTGGCACAGGCAAAAAAAAAAAATCTCTACCGTTTCTTTAAAAAAAATAAAAATAAATTAAAATTGAGGTATCTTGACATAACAGCATTATATCAGTTTCAGGTGTACCACATAATGATTTGATATTTGTATATACCATTGTTAAACCATCACCACAGTAAGTCTAGTGAATATCCATCACCACACAGAGTCACACACATAGGTTTTTCTTGTAATGAGAACTTTTAAAGGAAAAGCCTAATTCGGGTTAAGAGAACCCAAAAGAGAGAGAGAAAGAGAGAAAGAAAATAATTCACACCATTAAAATGAAAAAAAAAAACAAGAAAGAAATATTTTATTTTAGGGCAATATAGTGTGGGAAAAACAAGAATAAGGGCTTTTAGAGTCAGAACCGTTTGGATGCAAGTCATGGCTTTACCATCAGCAGTTACTAATATTATATCACAAGACTGATGTGTGGATGAAATAAAATAACTCAGTAGGTGCTAATAAATGTAGGCTGTTGTCCTCCACCCACGTCTGTCCTTTTCAGACACTGGTAATTCATGGGGTTGGTTAAAAGCCATACTTTTTGCTTTTAGTGTAAGTGACTTATCTTTGAGCTTCCTCCAGGATATTACGATTTTTTCATAGACTGAAAAATCCTCAAGCTGGAGACAGTCCTGGAGGATCCTCACTCCTAAACTGAGATAATGTTTACTCTTTTTGTTTTGCCACAAAATTCACTTTTATAGCACAGAATCCAAGGGAAACCAGTTTTCTATGTGTGTTTTGATCTCAAATGCGCAAAGAAAGCTGTCTGTCAAAATATCTTGTTGAAGTGAATTTGGGTTATTTATTCCATCTTACAGGTGGTGTGAAGATTTTTTTAAAGCCCAACTGCATCATTTTGTTTTTGGTCACATTTAAAAACGTAACCGCTCTTTCGCAAATAACTTCCATTTCATCAGTCTCTGAAGTCTAAACACTTCCTGTGACTTTTAACATGTTCGATTTGACCAATTTTCTGACCAAAACATGTATCTCTGTTTCAATTGGCTAGGACAGAACTTGGTGTTTCCTTAACACCCTGGTAAAGCTGTTAGAGATAAAGAAAAACAAGTCTTTTCACCTTGATTTTTCTGCCAGTCAACTTCTAATGACCTACTCTGGATGTATGTAGGAGGATGTACCCTGTGTGTGTGTAAGGCTGATTTCCATGTACAAAGGAAAAATGAAAGTTAAAAAAAAAATTTTTTTTTAAGCTTCAAACATTTGGGCGGTGCATTTCAAGTAAAACTATCGACAGATAAAGATCTAATCTCCTTCTTTTTTTCCCAGAAACATCTTTTCTAGAAATTTTCATAAGCTGCCTCGTTTTGAAGCTGCCTCACACTTCAAATTTTTTCGTTTATTAAATGTCATGTGGGCATTCTTTGCATAACTGCACGCCTGAAGGTGCTTCTTCCAAAACTGGGTTTCACTCCTTTTGGTTCAAACACCCAAATTCAGTTAAAATAGTGTGAGGCAAAAAATTATTAATGAAAAGAAAAGTACTGGGAGGGAATGAAGGATCTGAGAGATTCTAGAAGTTGATGTAGAAGATGACTTGCTAGAATGCTGGCCAGGAAATTTACATTTGTACGGTTTTATTCTGTATGGCAAAGGAGGGAAGGGACAAATAATAAAGCCACCACTTGGTTAAATTAATTGACGTCGTTTAACCAATGGTGTGCCTGAGCCGACTTGTACTGGCTCACAATTCTTCCCAAGAGTTCAGTGATAACACGTTGGTAGCTTGAAATTAACCACGGTGAGAAGATTTACACCACAGAAGTAGGTAAATGCTACAAACCAGGGCTTTTTTTCCCACCCCAGAGAGTTGGTTTACCAGCACATTACAGTAGATAACAATATCATGATGTTACTTGACGTAAATATGGCATGAAAAGGCAAGCAACCAAGGAAGGAAGACGGAAGGAAAGGGAAAAGAAAAGGAAAAAGAGAGAGAAAGGGAAAAAGGGAAAGGTCAGAAGAGACCTTTGTTAAATGACATAGACTTATAAATAATTTTTTAACTGGTCCAGATGAATTAGATGTAGCCAATGGCAGGGTCAGAGAAAGATGGTAGATAAGCAGAGGCAGAGAAATCCCAAGATGCTTCTCTCCTGTGCAGTTTCTACAGCACCCAGAGGCTCATGGCTGTGATGACAGCCAAGTACCTGCAGGCAGGCAGGCACACACACCCCAACTCAGGAGACAAACATCAGAGGTCTGCCCTCTTACCATAACAGGGCAGAGGGAAGTGTGCATATTTCTGAGCTCCCTTCAAACTGAGAATGTTGCACAGTTAAGCTCACATGTTTTGTGCTTTACCTGAAACAGAAAGGTAAGAATCGCCCTTCCCATGTGTATTTCTAGCTCTGTGACACTCACCACAATCAAGAAGCTGTCGTAATTCTGCTGGGTTGCTGGAGCTCTGTGTTCTGTATAGAGTTGAACATTCCAGACCTAGGACACAAAACAGACTGAGTATGCAAAACACAGCTCTCTGGAGAATGTGTGAGCCTGCGGCCAGAGAGACATTCCAGTTTCTATCCAGCGTCTATTCTAGATGTGTACTAAATATTCCTGGAAGTCAACTCCTACTGTTCATCTTATGGCATGTCGATAATTTTGGCAACATCACCTGGCCACTGAGGAGCAAGTTAATTCTCTTTATTAAAATAGGGAGAAGTTAACAGTTTCCATGCAATAACTACGTGTTAGTGTAGAGTCAGAAGTCAGACCAAGATTATCTCCCCACGTCAGTGCGACAAACAGCTTGTGGGTCCAGCACAGGTGGCAAGGAGTGTATTTAATGAACGTCCATGAGACAAATACAAATGCTAACACCCACGAAATCAGGCCATAACCCGTTAACCGACTCCCTCTACCAGCTGGATTACCTTTCTTTTCAATGGCTTCCACTAGCTTGATAAGAAGCGGTGGAGCAACGTCAGGAGGAGCGAACTGCTCTGCAAGGTCTGGAAGAGTCGAAGCTGCAAATAAACACAATTGCGCCATTACGTTTCATCGGGGGTAATCCAACGCAGTAAACATCAGTGAAGATGACCAGAACACAAAGTCATGTAGTCCTACTGGGATGGCAGCAACCTCAGGCCGGAACGAGAGGGAGCCCGTACTGGGCCCTGTGTTGAGAAGGCTCCTTGCGGGCCTCCCCCCAGCTGTGCCTCTTCCCACAGTGTGATGAGTTTGGGGGGCCAAGGGGACACGCCCACTGCTTCTCTCCTAGGACACACTCAGAACACTTCTCAGAAGCTTGGAATCCCTTGCCCCAGTGGCCTCGCGGGCCTCTTCCCCAGGTCCACCCTCCCCAGGGCAGATCTCCCTGCAGGGGTGCCCCTTTGGACCTGGGGAGTGGGCGAGGGCTGTGGCGAGTGGAGATCAGGATGGAACGGAGTCTGGACGTGCAAAGGTCCTGGCAGCGCAGGGCCAAGCCAGGGGTGGGCTGGGAACCAGCTCTCCCCATATCACCACACTCTCAGGCAGAACTGAGAACCCAAGAGCTCTAAATACAAATCTGGCTTGCTGGTCATTGTGAAGAAGTAACTTCCCAGGTAGGAGAATGGAACGTATCTTACTGAACTGTCTGTTAACAATCAATATATGATTTCTAACTTTAAAATATTTAGATACAGGCTTGGCCTTCCTTTTGTATTTTTGCCCCAAGCCCCACAAATGGCAGGGTGGGCTTAATATCAGATCTGAAGCCAGTACAAATGATCCCTGGCCACTTGAGACTCAAATTAAATCCCCATGGACCTGCTCTTGAAAAGCCTTTATTTGCTTACATATGTTTTGGTCAGTTAATATCTTAAGAAATGTGATGCTTTCATGAACTTGTTTCCATGCTTTTATTTACATGTTTTACCAAATGATACAAAGGAAAAAAAAAGTCTAATTGGATGACACAAATAATGCCCTTGATAACATTGATAATTGTATTTTCACTCCAAAAATATAAGAAAGTAAAGTACAAATATTTTTCTCATAATATACCAGAAGAGGGAGCTAAATATACTCATCTCAAATTTCTCAAAGTGCAAAATATAGGTAAAATGACAGCCTTCATGAAAATACCTACATGTGCAGTCTGTTTATCAGCCATCAATAAATAATTTGTAGACACTTAAGGTTCAATGCTGTGTATATACTCTCACCTAGGAATAGTTAATATAATCTAATAAGAAAGACTAAATACTGACAATTTTGTTTCAATGAGATTTTAGTGGTGTGATTTTTATTATAAGCCATATATCATGTTAAATAAGCACATTTCTAATGAAGCTCATCTTTCTAACAGTGAGTCAGAACAGAAGAACAGATTCACAAGACAAGAGTCAAGTAAGATTATGTTAAATCTGGACCTTAGAGAATTAAGTATGATTTACGTCATTTCGGAAACCCAGACCCTGTAGTAGAAGACCCTTTTAGGTGGCACTATTTCCCGAGATAGACAGTAACGTGATCTTGCCACCTAACGCTATTAGCCATTCCAAGTACCCAGGATAAAAGGAGAGAGCTAAGTTATGGAAGAAAATCCTATAGCAGCACTCTCCAGAAGCACCTTCTGTGATGATGGAAATGTTCTATTAGCTGTGCTACCCAGCAAGTGCTCCTGAGCCCTTGAAATGTAGCTATTGCAACGGAGGAAGTGAATTTTTAATTGTCGTCATTTAAAATGAGATAGCTGTATGTAGCTAGTGGCCACACTATTGAAGAGCACAGTCCTACAGCCTGAGCAAGGGCGAGTTTTGTCAACAACAGATGAAAGATTCCTGAGTTGACTTCGTGCTGCAAAGACCCCACTAAAAGCTGTCCCAGAGGACATGGCATCTGGACACGGGGCTTATCAACATCTGAACGCAGGGCACACAAAATTTATCACTGAGTTTCCTGGGCCACTTTGTTCTACTGCAACAGCACTTGAACACGTTTCGCACTTCATGAAAGCAGGACAGATATGCCACTGACTTGCCAGACAGTCATGATGCAGCGAGCTGAATGGACACTTCATCTCACTGGTGCTTTCCCCACTGGCCTGTGCCTATGGATCATCTGGAGAACTTGCCAGGAAGACAGAATGCTGGGTATGACTACAAACCCCCAGAATCAGAATATCCAGGAATGGAGCTAGTCATCTGTTTTGGGTTAGTAGTAAGTTTTAGGACATGCTATATATGATAAGCAAATCCATGCGGGTGACCCCCACCCCCTGCCTGAAAAAATCCAGCAATGACGTCGCCCAAATCTATTAAAATATGAGTATATCCGAAAAGCACTTAAAAATACAAATATCTTGGGGTGGGGGGAGGGATAAATTAGGAGGTTGGGATTAACATATACACACTACTATATATAAAATAGATAACCAACAAGGACCTACTGTACAGCACAGGGAGCTAGACTCAATATTTTGTAATAACCTACAAGGGAAGAGAATCTGAAGAGTATATATATGAAACTGAATCGCTGTGCTGTATACCTGAAACTAACACAATATTGTAAATCAACTATACTTTAATAAAAAATATCTTGAAAGTTTCATAGTTTTTTTTTAGTTAAAAGCACTGTAAAATAAAAAAAGGAATACTATAAAATGAAAGAGCATAGCATCTCATTCCTCTGATACATTATAAACTACTTCCCTTTGCCTTAGATTATCAGCTCACAAAAATAGCCTCCCTCATAGATGCCTTCTACACTGAGCAAAATGAAATATCATCCTATCAGCACATGTAACAGAAGGAAAACATAAAGGCAGAGATACATTGTAGAGAAATATTATTAATTGGGACTCACTGTAGCTTCTCTTCTTAGCCCTCTCAAACTTACAGATCTCAGCACAGCCAAGTGCAAAGAGCTAAAGATTAAACAGTAAATGCATGAACCCACATATCCACACGACACTCGTCCAACTAACATGCCTCGTTCTTCTTTTCCTTCCCTCATAAATTACACGGGCATTTTTTAAAATGAAAAAATGAAAAAAACCCCCTTAAAGTTGGCAACTAAAAATGGAATTACTTAATAAAGGTTTATCTCTTTCAGAATCTTATCAACACAGTCATTTCTGCAGGCAAATATGAAAGTTAAGTAATAATTAAAGATTTCACCTAATTGTGACTGAAATATGCACCCAAGAGTTGTTATATTACTGGGTTGGCAAATACTATATATAAAATTGTTTCTGCCGCTCTTATTTCTTCACTTCAGCTTGAAGGAGGGAAAAAAAAAGCCTTTCCTTAGTCCTTTCAATGTTTCTTTGGCAAAACATGGTAGTTTACTTTCCATGCAGCATATCCTGAGATGCAAAGTATCATTTGTTTCACTCATACAAGTACTACCTGAAGTTTCTAAAAAGCGTTGTGATGGCCATCAGGTATCTATAATGACATTTTCCTCAAAGTACACCCCAGAATACTTTAAAAAGAAAAAAACTAGACATATACATTAGGAAGTACAGGTACTCCTCTGTAACACATCGAGTGAATTTACCACTGAATTTTGTTAATATTGAAAAAAGCTTATTACCCCAATGTATAAAGCATCATAGCTGATCAAAGTTTTTCAATGGGAGTTTTAAAAGGTAAATTTTACAAAGAGACAAGGTTTTCTAAAATAACAATTCAAGGATTTCCTATTCTCTAGTACAATATCTATGATTCAATCCATTTCCCCTTTAAAATATTTAAACACATGGGATGTGGAAGCTTCACCCAGTAAGCTTTTAAAGTTCACATTTTCTATTTCGGGCAATAGGATCAATTAAGAGTGAAAGTCTAAAAAGCATTCTAAAGCAAAATATTAATTATTTCAATAATCCTAAAATCAACGATTCCTTTACTTTTATTAAATACACAAGGTCAATATTTACACTTCCGTTAGGTCCCATTTTAAAAAATTCCAACAGGAAATGACAATTGCTAGGAAGTACCAAATTTGGCAAGTTGTTCTTTGAAAAGTCCATGATAAAGTACCACATCATACAGTTCAATAAACTAAAACATAACGGAACTAAATATATATATATATATATATATATATAGAGAGAGAGAGAGAGAGAGAGAGAGAGAGAGAGAGAGAGAGAGACACACACACACACACAAAATGTAGAGATCGTACATGGCGGCTATTAAACAAAACACAAATTAGCAGAGCATGATCCTCCTCAAGTTTACATGTAAATTCTCATTTGATTTCACCTTTCAGACAGATTTTTATATCTGAATGAGGAATGTTTTTTGGGTTTTGAATCCTGCTGTAGCCAGTGTACACGTCTGGAGAGCCAAGTCCAGTCTTAAAACTGGGTGAATTTTAGATTCCTCTACGACAAGCCAACACCAGTTTTTCACTTAGCTGAATCACTTTTCAGCAAAAGAAATCAGTATTACTTAAGGAGAAAGAAGATAAGAAAGAACAGCAAAAGGGTCTAAAAGCAGTGGTGAAGCCAAGACGTGTATTGTTTCAAAAAAAGAGAGGAATCAGCCTTTAACAGGAACACCAATGAAGTAGGTGTCCCAGGTTGTAGAAAGAATTTTTGATGACACATCATAAGTGCTGCATTTTCCACTAGTTCTATTTTCTCCCTTTGCCCTGGTGACAACGAGTCACACAGAAGAGAGCCTTCTCTCCCGACTTAGGCCCTTCCCAAATCACTAACATGGACAGGCCTGAACAGTCCCTGGGCACCAGTGGTGTGTGGGAGATAGTGGCATGCCTCACGTTAAATGGCGCCAACGCCACTACAAAGTGCAAGATTAAACCAGCACACAGCTACACCTTTTGGAGGCCTTCTCCATAAAAAAGGATATTTTAGAGTTAGTGCCTGGAAGGGACGAATGGAAAGTTTAAGCTGAAATTCTGGGACTCCAGAGACTGCCCAAGCCAAGTATTCCATTACTGATGGAAGCAGCTTGGACGTACATGAAAAGCTGCCACTTACCTTTTAAAATGTAATACAAATACACAGAAAAGA